TGTCTCACGTGCGGAAAGTATTAAAAACGTTTGAAGACATAGACAGCACAGGTAAGCAACCAAACACATGTTGCAAAAGTTCCGGATCTCAGACTCAACTTTTTGTTGTCAAACATAATCCGGCTTGATAACCCGCGAATGTGGCGTCCTTGTTTTTCCGGGAATTCTCTTTTGATTCCTCTAAAATGTGGGCGTCGGTTTGTTAGTGTTACGGGTTTTGGCATTAAAGTGTCCATGGATATTTCACTTTCTGTCTGACATATAAAACTCTCGAACTGAAAACTCTCAAAGTTGTGAAGAAATTTAAAGGAAAACTGTGTGTTTTTTTACACCATACCATGAATGACATGGTTCTATCCATATCCAGTCTTCTATCTAACTGATAACTGAGATGCCTTGTAAACATATGTATAAACACACACATCAGGCTCATAATGAAACCTGGATGATTACAGAGGAATTCTAGTTACCATGCAGCTGTCTAGGTAAAATGTTTACCAGTATTCTAAACTCTAGACTTGTAGCATATTTGTAGAGAAAAACTGCATTCTATCTAAATTTCAGTTTGGTTTCTAACAAAATTGTTTTAAATTATTGGTAATTCTACTGATAATTTGTTTATTTTGAATACTCTTGTTAATCAGTACCTTTATCAAAAATCAAAAGCAGTCAGGGAAAACAAAAGGTAGAAATTATTTAGAACTGAAAAGGAAAACAAGATTTATGATTGTTTTAATTTTATTGATTCAAGCATTTGACAATGTCTGGCACAATGGATCCTATTTGAAACTTATAAAGAATGAAATTTCTGGCAAAATATATAATATATAAGATATGTATTTCAATAATAATTACAGTCAAAACAAAGAAAGGCTTACACTGAACTATTCCATTCCTCAGTTGGAGTCCGGCAAGGTTGTAATATTAGTCCCATTTTGTTCAATATACTCTTGAATGCATGTGACCCACTACAGGGACTGTCGACCCACCAATACTTAACGAGTCAAAAGTAAACTGCAGGTGATCTTGTGATTTTTTTTTATGAAACTGAAAAAGATTGCAAAATAGTATCATCTCTCTTCTTACACAACGTATTGGTACCTTCAAAGAAATATTGAGAAAAAACGAATTATTATTTTTAATAATTCAAACAAGACTTTAAATAACAAACCATTGTCAATGAAATTAATTATTTTCGTCAATTATTAGTGCAAACAGTAGATTTAAAGAAGGTACTAGTATAAGCATGGAGGTATAAGCATCTTAAAATAGAAAGGATAAAAAACTATAGTTGCATTCACACACACAGCTCATTAGTATTGGCCGAATCTGACCTGTTTTTAAGACCCGGTTAAGACCCATACAATGTAGCACAGGCTAACGAAGTGTGTGTAATTCTTAGCTAGGGCTACATTTGCATATGCCCAAAATACTATTTTATTCAATGTTTATTTGGAAGATTTACTATTCATAACTTTCTGAATTTGTTTTGTTATTGTTTTTTTACCCATAGAACTAACATGTATACCTTCTTGATTACTGTACTGAGTTTAGGTGTTCCTTAGCAAATGCAAACTGTTCTCTCCTATGCATAAATGCAATGACATGCAAACATGAAATTAGCTCAAATCTTAGCCTGTACATGACTTACATGTACCCGGTATATTTCTTTTTTAAAACAAAATTAATCAGAACAAATACATGAACATTAATATACACTTCTTATGTCACTTTTTGATAAGAACAGTAATTGTTACATATAGCAACGATATGTGTGAGGTGATGAAGGTACTATACAATCGGCAATTGAGGATGTTCATCTCTCATTCTTCAGATTTGTAGTTGGCATCTCTAAACACACAGAAAAAATGGCAATCTATGGTGAACTGGGGAGATACCTGGTTGACATATTCATTAAAAAATATTAATTAAATCATTTAATCTATTCATCAAATACATTATTAAAGGACGTCAACACTGTTAAAAAAAAACAAGAGCAAATGGTTTCAAACAATTTAGAAACTGCTGAGTAGCAGATTCTGTCAACATCATGCATGAATAAAGTTCACTAGAAATTAAATAAATTATTTGAAAAAACAGTCCCAGTGGGAAAATGATCAGACTTGCATTTTCTCAAACATACTTTAAACAATTTTAGCAAGTTCAATAACATAGACATGCACCTTAATTTGTTTTACTGTCACTTGTGATCTATATTTTTCTTTGCTATAGTTGCGTTCACGCACAGCTCCTTAGCACGGGCTAAGAGGTCAAATTCCTTAGCCCGTGCTAAGAAAACGTGCGTGAACGCTTAGCACGGGCTAAGGAATGCTAAGTACGGGTTAAATCTGATCCGAATTTAAGACGCGGTCCAGACCTTAGCACGGGCTAACGAAGTTTGCGCGAACGCTTAACCCAGGGCTAAGCGCCCTCTGCGGCGACCTTTGGGTGTGAATATTGTCCCATGTACGTATAACGACACTATTCCCAGTGTTCTCCCCAGACTTCATGTCAAGCATCACGGCCACAAATTGTTTATTAAAACGATTCATTGACGATTATCATAGGCATTACATCACAATTGCCAACGAGATGTTGTTTTTAAACATCGCGAAAAATCATGCATTCTACGCCGCCATCTTTGTTACCTCGGTCAGAACCCCTGGTAACCCAGCATGCACCGGTCACAATGTTGCAACGTGCATTATATCGCCTTAGGGCGGCGTTTTTTGGTACTAAGGCACCCTATGAATGGGGTATTTCCAGAGGTCAGAGTTTGTTTTTTCTCAACCCGTATCGTCTGCTGTTGAATTATCAT